TTATGCAGCAGTGTAGCAACTGCATTACAATACCTGGCTAATGGGTTTTGCAGCTGTATTCCCACTTATTCATTATTTGTATTAAAACAGCACCCAGGAGTCTCTTTTCACTGACTGCCGCATGAACCCATGCTCCCTGAGTCGTGTTTCTAATTTGTAAAGGAACTCAGTCACTCCCTGATCACCTTGTGTCCTGGGAGAATAAATCATGCCTATACAGCTCCTAATCAAACACATCTTTGTTATCTTGGAGACCTGCCTAGATATATTCCAACACGTTTGGCAAGTTTGATTTCCCACTGCACAATGTCATAATTTACCCTCCCATAGCATTTAGGTAGGTTCTTATTGTATATTAATTAGCGTTTTCATTGTGCTTTTGTACTGAATCAGCTGATTACCTAGCACAGATGAGTTAAGCAAAATAAAGAAATAAATAAAAACCTTCATTCTTTGGTACACTGACACCTGTTGTGTTACTAAAATGTAAATATTAAAGAGAGTGCCAAACAGTTTGCATCAGGAAGCACTGAAAAGTACATCCGTACGAAACTGCCTGGGAAACTACTTCTAGGATATGCTCTTCTGGGTCAGGATTGAAAATCAACTTCAAGTGCAATTAAAAGTTTAATTACAACTAGAAGTACTTTGCAGAGAAACTCCTAGCCAAAAATATAAGATTAGGCATTTCTTTTTCTGTGCTTTAAATGAAATCCTTACAAAACCATTCTTTTTATATGATGTAATGTACGAAAAGGCACAGGCTTCCACACAAAGGCCCAATAAGTGCAGGCCATGATGTAGGAGCTCATGAGGCTGGAGAGCTGGAGCTGGAGGCACGGCTGTTTGCCACAACCAGGGTGAAGGACTCACTGGACTTTGCTCTGCCCAACATCGGCCATGCCAACGTGTTCCTGTGAGAGCAGCAAACCTCACCCTGTAGGCCTTCGTTTTGCTGTGGCAACCCCAGCAGCAGCCCTCCATCTTGCCTGCACTCAGCTTTCTGCCCTGAAAAAATAAACAAACAATGCATCAGCAGACAGATCTTGAATAGCACCAGTGAATGGCTGCAGCAATTTGCAGCGACAAGCACAGCACTGGGTACAAAGGTCTTCATCAGCTCTTACACAACCTCTCCTCTGAGTCTCATGTTTCAGAGTTGCTCAGCTTGTATAGCAATGGAGGGTCAGGGACTACAGCAGATTACCTCAGTTCAACCATTGAAAGCAAGTGTTATTTTTAATCTTGTACGCTCCATTTAAAGGATTTCCAGGCTGGCACTACTTTAATTACACAAATGTTACGGTTATCAGCACAACCACCCCTTAATTGGCAGGCTTTTCACTAGGGAGCCACCATCACTAAGTTTCTAGTGAAATAACTTTTAATAATTGCACTTGTCAACTTCAAAATGCTCTACAAACATTAACTGACTTAATTACCTCTCCCAGAGTCCCTTAGAGGCAGGAAAGTGTCATTACCCACACGTAATCAAATGGAAAGTCTTGAATGACACACGATGTCTTCCCCAGGACAAGGCAAAGGCTTGGAGTTTGGTGTTCAGTGTTTTTTGAGATGCAATGGAGTACCTTAAGGGTAGGGGACAGCAGACCCCTTCAGGAGCAGCTAGAGGCCAGAGGAGGTATCCAGAAATATCTCAGATGGCTTTAAGACATCGGTGCTGAACTTGGTGACAAAGCACACATTAGAGAGGAGATTCCAGCATCTAGGCCATGGGATCCCAAGGGAAAACAAACGATGAGCCACAAGCCTTTTCCAGACCTTTCACAGTGCAGAATAACAATCCAGATGCAGTACAGTGCTCTCCTTTCTGAGTAAGTCTGCAAAGAAAGACGTGTATTGTGCTCTCTGTTCACTAGGTGACTCCCAAATGTTGCAAATCCTCACTGGTGTCACAGCACAAGGTCACACCAACACTGGAAATGCAGCTTCCACTTTCCACGGAGAGCCTTTAAATGAAAAGACCATGCAACCTGCCCATTACAGCACTGGGAAACCACTGCTCATCATCTTTGCAGAGAGGGAAGAATGAGATAAGAAGAACCAAAGAGCTGCTCCAGGAACAGGAGGAAGGAATACTCTGACCCAGCCCTGCTGGCATTCTTCACCTTCAGAACCAGAGGTTGCAGAGAAGAGACAGCTGCCTGCTTTCCTGCTTGCTGGGGTGGGCACACCTGTACATAGCTCACCTGCAGTCTTCCCTTCACATACACATATCCAGGGTCCTTGCCCGCCTACAGATAGGATCATTCATCAAAATTCATGTTGTTTCTATTTGTTTTTCTTAATATAAGTAAATAAACATAAAAAAAAAAAAAAGCCCCATAGATTCATGGACAATGATCATCATGGGTGAGCACCTATGCACATAAGCTCAGGAGATCTGCAATGATACCAATGATTACAATCTTAGTTTCACTCTGCATTTCTCCATGAGAGTCACCCCAAGTAAAAATACTGCATTTGTACATTGTACCAGAGGTATGGCTGCCATGGGAATTTCAACCTTAAAAATGCCTCTACTTTTTTAATACGTGGAAAATCCTGATCAGAATGCATGTTAATCTGTTGGAGGGGCCTTACTCTCAATATATGTCATATTTGTACAGTACATAAGGACTTGGGATTTTTTGTTTCTATGCACATTTTGCATAGAAGTTGATTAGTTCCTATGTTGATTAGACTTCTATTAACCTACATTACACAACAATTAATTAATTTTCCCTTTAAGCAAGCAAATTAGGAAATAACCAAGACTCCCTTGGATCCTAGCTCTTCAGAAATAACTCTCCCCCATTATGCAGCGTGAGCAACCTTTTTGATCATCATTGCTTCAGTTCCCTGCTAGAACAGACGTGCCTTGCAGATAACTGCAGAATGGTGTGAATAGGCAAAGCCATGTGTCTGCCCAGCCCTAAGTCCGTCCCTCGTACTCCCTTCACCCGCCCTGAGCTCCAAGTCTGCTCTCACTATCACCATTTTACCTATCTATAAAAATGCATCCAGGCCCAAGGTCTGGACTTCTTCCAAGCCAGGATAGTAGAACTATATCATGGGGCAAAGGGAGTTGGCAAACAAAGAGTTGTAAGAAATAACACACTCTTTCTCACATTGGCCAGATCTTGCAGATCATACTGCAGTTCATGCTATCAAAGGTTAGCACTGCACTTGTTTTTTCCTTTGGCACTGATATGTTAAACAGTAAAATAAATTACTGCTACCAAGCACCCTGTTCAGCTTCTTTGTGGTTTTGTTTTTTTCCCCACAAAATCTGTTCCCTAACAGTGAGATGTAAGAAAGTTACAAGCAAGCATGAGGGACAGAGCAAAACAAAAACCTTTCTCTATCTTCTTGTATAAGACTCTTGAGAAAGAGCACACCTGTAAGCTAATACTATTTTATTTCTATTGCACTAGTGAAAGAAAAGGGTAACAGAAAACACTCCAAAAGGTGAGGCCATGACCTATATAAGATTACTGATCTATTTCTGTATGTGCCCACAAACTCTTGTACATTAGCTCTCTAAATCTGCCTCTCTTCTTTAGCCTTCCTCTGCTGATCTGTTCACCGTGCTGTCTCCTACTATCCTTGTTAGCTGCCTTCTGTCTAACTTAGTCATTAGGTTTCTCAAAGTTCAGGCTTTTTCCACCTGTAACTGTCACTGCTATCCTGCCATGTTTACAAATCATTAAAAAAGAAAACAAATTACATGCGTCCTGTGGGCACTGACATCTTTCCTTTTGATCTAGCAAGCATTCAGGATGTCGTGCCACGCACACAAACTTGTTTGCTCACTGCTAATTTGCAGAGCCTCCACTCTGCAGGAGCATCAGGAACGAACTCCAGGGAGCTGAACTACTCATGATGCCAAGATGCTTCCCAGATAGGAAGCAGTCCAGGATTCTTTCCAGGATTAAGCAAGCACTTCTGTCTCTCAGAGAAAAACTTTCCATGTATTTTTTCCTCTGAATTTTTTTGTTGTTGTGTCAATGGCTTTGGGTTCAGTTCCATGCCTAATGGAGCAAGGTGACCCATGGACCCCTGCTCTAGGAGAGGGGGAAAAGAGGAAAGGTAGGGAGATAGGCCTGCAAACAAAACAGCAGCAATGAGCTAAGCGAGAAAAGTAATTTACTAAGTATGATATCAGAATGCGAGATAATATGATACAGTATATATAATAATATTTGCTTTTAGTTCTCATTGCTCTAGCCTGTTATCAGTAGACCACAAATAACATGAATCTCCCTACACTGAGTGTGCTTTGCTCAAGTGTAACTGGCGAGTTCTCCCCTTGTCCTTATCTCAACCCACAAGCCTTCTTTCATCACAACTTCCACCGCTCCTCAGCTATTCACAGAATGGCCTGGGTTGAAAAGGACCACAATGATCATTGAGTTTCAACCCCCTGCTACGTGCAGGGTCACCAACCACCAGACCGGGCTGCCCAGAGCCACATCCAGCCTGGCCTTGAATGCCTCCAGAGATGGGGCATCCACAGCCTCCTTGGGCAACATGTTTCATTGCTTCAGCACCCTCTGTGTGAAAACCATCCTCCTAATATCTAACCTAAACCTCCCCGTCTCAGTTTAAAACCATTTCCCCTTGTCCAATCACTATCCACCCTCATGAACACTCATTCCCCCTCCTGTTTATACGCTCTCTTCAAATACTGGGAGGTCACAATGAGGTCTCCCCGCCACAGTCCCTTGAGGCACAGAGGAACCTGAGATACGCACTGCCATAGCGCAACAATCATGGAGCACAGCGGTTACACAACCGCCGCTACAGCCACACCCCCGCGCGCGCCCGGCCGTTGGAGGCGGCTCGCTTGCCCATTGGTCCAGGAGAAAGCGCCGCTGATTGGCTCTCCCTCCGCAACGCCCGCCGTTCCTTTTGATTGACAGATCCTCGCACTGTAGTTGCGCGAGAAGACCAGAGAGCGCGCTGTGATTGGCCGCAGTGCTGACGGCCGCGCTATATAAGCCCCGCGGGATAGGCGGGCGCGTTAGCCCTCGGGCGCTCGTAGGCGGCTGTGTGAGTGCGCGCCCTCTCCGGCCGCTGCGGGAACATGGCGACGCTGAAGGCCGTGTGCGTGATGAAGGGGGACGGCCCCGTGGAGGGGGTCATTCACTTCCAGCAGCAGGCAAGGCCCGGCGGCGGCGGGCGGGGCTGTATCAGCACGCTATCTATCAGCGCGCTGTCCGGCCGCGATGCTGAGTCATGGCGCGGGCGTCGGGGAGAGCGGGGCCGGGCTGCTGCCTTGCGTCCGCGGGTCGGTGGGGCGGAGCGTGACTCCTGTCTGCGGGGAGGGGTGAGAGAGCCCCGGGTTGGGGCAGCTGGGGGTTAGGGAAAGGGTCTGCACCACAGGGCGGTGGGCGTGGGACGGGCTGCACGGGGGTGTGGGCACGGCCCCCAGTGCTGGAGTTCAAGGAGAGTTTGGATAACTCTCAGATGTATGTTCTGATGTTTGGGTAGGGTTCTTGGGGCTCGCTTCCAGCTCGGGTGATTCTGCATTGGAAGCTGAATTTTTGTTGACCTGGAAGCTTCTCTCGTGAGGAGGCTCTTTGATGCTGCGATCACATCTGTAGTAATCAGCTCTTTGTGTTACAGGGTAATGGGCCAGTAAAGGTTACTGGAAAAATTACTGGCTTGTCTGATGGAGATCATGGCTTTCATGTCCATGAATTTGGAGACAACACAAATGGTAAGATGCCTGTCCAAGCTTCTGAGTTACAGCTGCAGTGTGATCAGCTTCAAGGAGCTGCTTCTAGTGTCACAGCAGCAACCATCTTCGGCATATGTATGTTTTATGGCTGCACATCTGTTCTAGGAAACTATGATTCCTAAGGAATTGATTCTCATAATCTTTGAACACATTTAGGCTACTGTTCAAGGTCTTGTATATCAAGCACTGGCCTAAATACTTTTTTGACCTAGTTTTTAACCTAGTGTTAAGAAATAAGAAAACTTTCATCTGGCGAAGAACATTCTTGAATGAGTCATCTGGATTTGTTGAACTTGAAGTAATGTTTGTATACTTATAGATCTAGCTAGAGAGTAGCTGTTTCATCATTAATGATTTTTAACTTCCTCACACTATAGGAGAACTAAGGTCATGTATGGTATAAGCACCAACTTTAACTGCTTATTGTAACGAATCTGCTTTTGGTGGTTGTTCTTTTCTTTTTCAGGATGTACCAGTGCAGGTGCTCACTTCAATCCTGAAGGCAAGCAGCACGGTGGACCAAAAGATGCAGACAGGTGAGTTTAATGGGCCTGACCTAATGCTACTCAGTGCAGCAGCTGTGTAAGCTCAGCTTTTAGCTTGAGAGGCTGCTGCCTGACTGATTGCTAGGATAGTGCTAGAGGAAAACCAGCAATTCCAGCAGGACTTCTGAGGTCAGTTAGCAAGGTACTTGGCAATCATACAGCAGTGCTTCAGGCACCTTGGGTTCAAGAGCATATGCAAGATGTAGTTTTAGCACAGTGGTTTTATCACAGCCTATGGAGAAGAGGAAATAAGTATGGGCTGTTAGTGAATGTTCATTAGGAGATAAGTGAGAAGGGAAGGAGGGTCATGTACTAATACCTCCAGTGGTGCCTTGCTTCTCTTTGGGAGCTAGCTATTGATAGCAGAGGCCCTAAACTGTCATTGTTGAGCTGTGTGTAGGGTTGTCATATGGCCTGTGAGGATCCTCACTGGGCTTTGAAGAGACTGCAAGATGAGTACAAAGCTGTGTGCCTGGCACAGCAGCTATTCATTTGGTGTGCTGGGTTTTTCTTAACCTCTTGCTTTAGGTACTGTGCTGCCTGCAGGATGTATTCTGTAGGGGTTGTGTGCCAGGTGTAAGTACTGGTCTGTTTGCACTGAGTGCCTCTGTCCTTGCCTGAAAGTCTTCTGTCAGTGGAAGCTGACTGAATTCTTCCTGGGAAGTGGTTAAATAGCCCAGTTACCTTTAGGGGGACCCTTTCGTGTCTGAGGTATCTATGTAGTGTCTGAGACCACTGAGCAGCTGGTTTGAGTAATATGCTTGCTGGGTTCCAAGACTGGGAAGGTGCTGCTATCATGCTGGCCTTCAGCCTAAAAGATTGTGCAAGTCTAAAAGGTGGGTTGATCTTGCAGAGAGGTTCTGATCAAGCATTGTGACCAATCTGACTGTGTTAGTCAAGTTTTTAGGTACTTTGTACCTCCAGCTTCTGTTATTGATCGGTACCTTTTGGAGTGATCAGTTGCTTGCCAGATGAAGTATGTTGGGTGAGAGATGTCTGGATGAAAGCAGTGTGAAATGGTGGCCTGAAAGGCTTCACAGGCAGACAGGCACTCTAATGCTAAAGGTCGCAGTTACATGAGTATTGTGGCTTCTATTGATTCTCTGTCAAATCTTGCTTCTGATGTAACCTGCCTGCTCAAGCAGCTATAGGCTGGGGATTCTCTGTGAAGATATGAGAGCTAGACTGTGCTTCTGTAAGGCTACAGTTGATGCCAGTTGTACTAAAATTTCCTGGTAGTTTAAATCAAGCAAACTCCTAAAGGGAAAATTGCCCTTGTCCTTATTCTCTAGGACTGAGCTAAAAATATGAAATCAGCACTCTTTTCTCAGGAAGCAGGTAGTTGGCAGATAGCTAGCAGAGCTGGTTGCCCTGTGAGCATTGGCAGTTCAAGGAACAAATTGGTATTTGAGGTTCATTCAGCTTCAGATGAGTGGTTTGTTTGGGTAGTTGTGTAGGGAACAAAACTCCAGTGTGTCCAAGTGTTCTGCAAATACTGAGCTGAATGAGGACTAATTCTTAAGGGAATTCCTAGTGGAGAACACACACCTAAACTGTAGTAGTATGTAATGTTAATATGGTGGAATGCCAGGCAGACTTGAACAGTTCTGTAGACTTCTACACTGGTTAGAACTTAGCCAGGATTTAATGTATCCCCTTTGACCTATCCCTTGTCAAACTGCTTTTACTAATCTTGTTTAAGCCTAAAGCCAGTAGCATGTTGTGGAATAGCTGATTTGTTACATACAGTAAAAGTATAGTAGTAGTGTTTATGTCATGCCTTGTATGTACAGGAAAGGTTAAGAGATTAGTTTAAGATTTTCCTTCTGAGCAGAGGGAAATAGGCTCTATTAGCATAAAGGAATTGCTAGCTCTTCAGAGTTGTGCACTGTTTGCTTAGCTTGCTAGGTGATAATGGCACTCCTTTCCCACAAGTGGGTTAGCCTTTGTACTTCAACTTCTACTGTGAGTTGGATTTTAATCGTCTTGAACAGAAGGAGTTAAAATTCATGGCTGGGGGGTAGATGAGTGTGTGTGTGCTGTGTGAAATGAGATGGTGGAGTACCTGAGTGTGATAACAGGGCATTGTGTTGTGCAGGCCATCTGTCAGGGCTTTCAGTTTAACCAGACTCTGAATTTCTGTGCTTCTTTGTGCAGGCATGTGGGTGACCTCGGCAATGTGACTGCTAAGGGAGGAGTGGCAGAAGTAGAAATAGAAGATCCAGTCATTTCCCTTACTGGTCCACACTGCATCATTGGCCGTACCATGGTGGTAAGTGCCTTGCTACCAACCTAGGGGCTTTAAAGAGAATGGGTTGGTTCTTGCTGTTTGATATACAAGTTTTATTGTGGGGTTTTTGATGTGGTTACACTTCATTAATATGAGATCTTAATTTTCTGCTGGCCTTGTTGAGGATAATTGTTTGCTCCTGGCTGTGTGTGATTAAAGCAAGCTGAGCTGAATAGGGAACCTGTAGTCTGGCATAAATGCTATCAGTGAAAGGCATGGCAATGGACTCTTAAGCTAGGGACAAGAGTGTGTGCTGCTCTGATAGTCAAGTAGCAGGGAGGTCTGTAATATAACATGTAATGCAGTGGCTGGGATGCTGCATCTTCATTGCAGTGTGCTCTGAGGGTGAACTGAAGTCTGAGTTTGCTCTTGGAGTAGTGATAACTTCTGAAATCTGGGGTTCTGGTGACTTCCAGTTCAAACAAATACAACTGAAGGTGATGCATCTTTATGGGCAAGTCTAGTCCTAAATTCTTAGCGTGTGTATCAGTTTGGCATTCAGCATTACAAAATGGGTAAGTGCTTTTTGTACTGTAAGGCCTTGCTGGTAGCTAGTATGTGTGTAATGAAAAATGCAATAACATGAATTAAGGTATCTTCAATTCTCTTCTAGGTCCATGCAAAAAGTGATGACCTGGGTAGAGGGGGAGATAATGAGAGCAAACTAACTGGAAATGCTGGACCTCGTTTAGCTTGTGGTGTAATTGGGATAGCCAAGTGCTAACTGTTGTACCTGAAATGTTTAAGATGGCAGTGGGAAATGAGCTGTATTTCATTGTGATTGCTGTACTTGCTCTTCTTTGTGCAAGCAAAAGATTTATCACTTAATCTCATTACTACTCTGCGTTCTTGAGTATCAGTTTAACTGGTGAATACTGACATAATTTTGTATTATGTATATTGCAATTAAAGTGTTACTAATGGAAAAATCTCTGTAGTCTTCTGCTAAAGCATCTGCTGTGTAACCATTTGAAGTGCAGTCTTCGCTAACTGAAACTCCTGTGTAATTGAAGATGGTTGGCAGGGATCACATGCTGAACACCAAAGCTGCTCCTGTATTACGGGATTTAGAAGATGAGGAGTCTTAAGAGCTCTAGCAAGGCTACTCACTCACCAAATAGCAGTAGGCAGTTTGCAGCACTGTATGTTTCAAACTTGGGTAATAAACTTGCTGGGCAAAACGTATGTTGGTCTTGCAGTCTATTAAAACTCTACCAGCTGATTTTGTAAGGCTTGGACTTCATGTCAGTAGTTTGCAAGACACTGATAGCATCCAACAAATTGCATTGAGGCAGCAACCTTGGAACTGCTGCCTTGCTCTGTCAGTGTGCCCCTGTAAGTGTTCCACATCCTGTATTAATAACCTGATACCTGCTCTGTATCCCAGCCACTGCCTTTATGCTTTCTTACAGAAGTGTCCTCTTGCTGTAAAATGTGACAGGTGTTGGGTGACAGAAGTCTGATGCTGAAGTACTGGGGGGGGGAGCCTGAAGTGTGCAAGATGGTCTGTTTGCAGCATGCATCCTTGTGTCATTGTGTGGCCTTGGAGTAGGGGCTGGGTTCTTGTGGGCAGATGCAGAAACCTCCCTGTAGTGAGAATTTGGGATTGGTGTTCAGTGGCAGTGTGGTGAGGACATCTCCTTCCAGTTCTACAGAGGTTTCTAAAAGGGAGAAAGCCTGGAGTAAAATGCATGTACAGAGGCAGGAGTTCTGTATTCAAGTTCCTCAAACTTTGTCAGTGGTGTAATCACTGAGATTGCACTAGCTTTTGCTTTTTCTTGTATGTACCTTGTAGACACAGATTTCCAAGTCTTTTAATAGAGAAAATTATGAATTTTAATGGAGACTTGTATTGACATTCCTTTTATCTTGTACATAAGAGATAATCATGGAAGTAGTTGGTTGTACTTCCAGTGATGCCTGAATTCCAGTGTAGCATGTTACAAATGGAATGGCTTTCAGAGTAGCAAGGAGACTGTAAAAACACTGAACTTACATTCATTACAGGTGGCAAACAAATGTGTGTACAGCCTCTACCCACCTGTACCTCTTCTGGTGGGTTTGCCTGTGCTCTCATTAAGCTGCAGCTGGACTAAGATAGTAGGTGTACCTTTCAACCTGTTTCTTAGGTGTTGAGGATCTTAGAACGCTTTGAAAATGCACAATGCCACCACAACCTCCTTACACTTAGAAGCTTACAGGATGGCTATGTTGTCTCCCTCTTTCCTAAGTGGGGGAAAGCAGCAGGTGCATGACAACAGCAGGGTGAGCAGCACAGGATGAAAGCTCTGGCAGCTCTACTCCTCAGCCACACTCAGTGCTGAACCCTGCTTCTCTGGAAGCAGTGCTTCATGTTCAGCTGTCTTTGCCATCGTTGGCTGAAGTATCTGATGGGGCACTAGCCAGAAGTCAGTGCTTATTAAGCAGGGAGAAGCAATGCTTGGTTTATATACATATACACACCCTTAAGTGGCAGGCATAGGCTCAGTAATCAAGGTATTAATTGTTAACGCTATGGTGCCATTATGTGTAATGGATGCCTTACATTGAGCTGACTATTCAAATACATGTTTTTCTCTTTCTAAAGCCATAGATTCAGTAGTCAGTTCAAGAGCAGGATATACTTATATTGGTGATGCATCCCCAGCGTGGTTACTGCTTCAGAAGGCAGTAAAGCATCATGCAGACAACATCCAAAGTTCTCCTAGCTACTGTTTTCCAGTTTCCCAGAAAGGGAGAGGATACAGAGGTGGCGTTTGTGCGAACAGATGAACCTTCCATTTCTTTTATTCTTGCCTTAAATCTTTTAATAAAAGTGGATTTGTTTAAAAAACAAAAAAAAATCCTACCTCCATACAGAATTATGGCAGTTCTTACTGAGACGGTCTTAAATGTGACAGCGGTGTCTGGCTGTATATGGAGTTAAGTGTGAAACAGACATTAAGGACACAAGTTTTAACACATGGAAGCTGAGTTCACTACAAGTATGTAAACAGGTTTTTTTTCTCTCTTTATTCTGCTATTGCAAGAACATAAAAATATATGTCCTCTTCCCCATTCATAACTCCACATTTGCTTTCCCTCCCCTCTCCCTCCCCCAGAAGAAAAGTTCCTCTGCCACAGAGCAGCTATGGAAAAGTACTGATGTAAGAAAGCAGCTGCCCTCGCTTCGGGGGAAAAAAAAAACCAACCAACCAACCAAACAAACAAAACAACTTTAAAAGCAGAACACGCCTATAGCAAGGAGAAAAAAAAAAATTAAATATGCACAGGATTCATACAATTTTTCCTCCACCCTTCCAGAGCATAACGAGGTTCAATTGAACGCCTGGTGCAGCCCGAGCCTCGTGTTCAGTGCGTGGGCTGATCAGAGACCGATTCAGCATGGATGTGTTGGGGCTCAGGCTGCCTGGCGTCACGCAGCGGTCTCTCAAGACTGTTTGCACCCAAAAGGCCAACCACAAAGAAGCAGGATTTGCCCTGTTAAAATCTGCCCAAATTCTTTAAGTAACCCGGAGAGAAAATGGTATAACTTTGACAAACACAAAAATAAGCATTCTTTTTCCATCAGTCCAACAGGTACAACGCTCGGCGGCTAAAAACTTAAGACCTACCTCTTGCAGGCTTACAGGAGGTACACATCATTAACACAGACAGCGGTAGCAGCCCGGGTTTGTGAGAACAAACAGGCAGCACGTTAAAATCCTCCAGCGGTCTCTCACTTCCCCACCAACTCCCAGCCCCGCTTCAATAAAAACAGGCTTTGCGTTGCACATCGCTTTTTGGTGTCTTTGATTTCTCTTTCACCCCGCTTTCCAAACGGCCGTCAGTGAGTAACGCGTATGGAAGGTGCTGAAGCGGTGCCCTTCCCGCCCACTGCACAACTTCACAACCTCACGAAGTCGCCCAGGGATGGCCGAAGGCGTCCCCTTAAGTCTGGTGAGGCGGCGTTTAGCACAGAACCACTTTTGGAGGGAGGGGGGAAAGGAAAAAAAAGAAACAAAACCGGCCTCTGTCGCAATGCAAATACCGAATGGAACACTGCAAATACCCCCGCAATTCACATTTCCAAACTAACCTTTACCCTCCCACGGTCAGGTAGATCATTAAAATGCAGCAAGCTAAAACTCAAGGTGACTATTACAAATAAAAATTGGCTTCCGTGAATAGCTACACAAACAGATGGATTCCTTTTAACAGATAGAAACAGCACAGTCTAATTTAGACTCCCGTACAGCGTCAGCAGTTCAAACTTAAAAGATGTTGAACGATCCTTCTCCACTTCAGTGCAGTGTAGGAAGAATAGCACACGTTAAAGTTTGTTACGAAAATAGAGTTTATTAAAAACACATCCCTATTGTTTTGAGGAGCTTTCACCGTTACCTTTTCTTAAATTAAAAAAAAAAAAAAAAAAAAAATAGAAAGCACTTCTACTTCTGATTTGTAAACTTTTTAAAGTCAAAACTTTAAAAAAGTTACAGCAAAAATGGGTAATATTTTAATCATATCTTCAGTATTTTTGTGTTACGTTGTGGCTATTTTAAATAGAAGGGAAGCAATCAAATTGCTTACAATTCCCCGCCAACTACCGAGGGGCTGATAGAAGCAGAAGCAAGTATAATACAGCAGACTGTACAACTCTAAAGCTCTACACTCCAACAAATGTCCCTGCCCTCGGCTGAGAGATTCCAGTCCCTAGCGAGGAGCCTCCGCGACCGCGCTCAGATCCTTTTCAGCTTGTTCCACGGATGAGGTAGCCTCAGATGTTAACTCTTCCTCAGGCTTTACGCCTGAAGGTTCAGACTCTCCTTTAGGAAGTTCTGAAACAACGTCTGCGTCTTCCATTTTGCCGCTATGAGATTCGTGGTTTTTGTCACCATCTGCCCTGTCTGTCACCTCAGGTTTTTCCTTTCCTCGGTTTTCTTCCTTGTCTCTGCGAGACTCCCTATCTCTAGAATCTCTCTCTCTGTCTCGATGTCCACTGGACCGTCTGTTTCTGTCCTCCATGTCCCTATGCCTATCGCGCTCGGGGCTCCTTCTCCCCCATTCTCTCCTGTCACGATTACCAAGCCGCTCGTGATCTCGGTCGTCGCTGCGGTTGCCGTAGCGCTCGCGGTCGTTTTCTACCCGATTGCCAAAAGATCTCCTTCCGAACCTTTCCTGGTCTCTGTTAGGGGTGAACGTCTGCCTGTCGTTCCTGAACTGCCTCCCGTCTCTGTTCTCCTCGGGTCCGCTGGGCCCTCCGCTTCCCGGCATCCCCCCAGGCCTCACAAAGTGGCCCGGCGGAGGGAAGGGGGTTTTCATTCCATGGGGAGGAGGCATCCCAAAGCCCCCCGGACCCGGTGGGGGCCCTCTGTGCATCATGTGGGGTGGCATGTGTCGCGGTGGCATCATGGGGAACCGCTGCATAGGAGGCGGTGGCATTCCTGGCGGTCGCTGCAGCGGTATCAAGCCTGGCCGGGCACCCAGGAGGCCGGTGGATGGAGTCTGCAAGCCAACAACAGGGGCCGGAGGGGGCGGCGCGACTCCTTGGGTGCCTGAAGCAAAGAAACAGAAGCACAAATTAAAATAATGTCATTTTAAAAATATTCAGAAAGTCTCATGAAGTGAGTAACACAGAAATGGTGTGTGGGGAGAGCCATCCGCAACGTGTCTCGTGATGGTCTGCATGCTGTCCAGAGAGCTCCGTCCTTCAGCAGAAGTCTCTTTTGTGCTACAAATAATTACTGTTGAGACAGACAGCAGCTATTTGCTTCTCCTCGTGGCCGCACCGTTTGCAGGTCTGAGTGCTTCAATTCCAACTCTGTGCCTTGCTTTGGCTGCTGACCAAACGCCTCCCTAATGGGTTATGCTTCACAGGCTTCCACATAACAGACACATGTGCTACCTCAGCTAGCTCTAGAACCCTTCTCCTCTATGATAAGCACCGTTAAGGCATTCCTGGCTAAAATGCCTGAAATTTCAGCTGGGTTATCAACAAGATTTCCAAGTGCAGAAAAGGCAGCAGTAAGCAATGGGGAGCTAAAGTCAGAGCAGCGCTGGGAAAGGAGCTGGGAGCTACGCAGTTCCATCTACTCTTCCCAAGAAAATCGATAACACAAGTTTGGTTTTGCAACGTAAAACTAAAAGGAAATGCAACAGACAGTTTCTGGATTTTTTTTTCAACAGTTTTCTATGTTTTGCAGAATCACAGAATGGCTTGGGTTGGAAAGGACCTCAAAGACCACACCATTCCAACCCGCTGCCGTGGGCAGGGCTGCCCCAACAAGCACTAGATTAGGATAGAATCATAGCATAAGTCCAGTGTCAACTATTCTCCACTCATGTTCATTCTCCTGGAGTACTGGAATCTTGATTTCAGCATGATCTTCCTAAGAGGAACCTCTCAAAGCCATCTGACACCAACACGAGGAGCTGTGGCCAAAAGCTGAGGGGTATGAGGGGCAGATGGGTGCTTTGCACCATTAAGTGTGTGCACCTCATCACGCAAGTCCTCTGTGTTCAACCAACACTATTGGCTCATGCCCTCTGCCTTTCACACTGGATCCATCAGCCCCAGGCATTTCCGCTCACAAGGAATTTACCTGCAAATAAGCTCTGAGAGAGCGTATCTATACAGACATTTTTAAAGTAAAATCCAAAATTAAAATTATTTCCCCACACATTAATAAAAATGAAATGCAAGAATGCAGTTTACATGCAAGTTTGTAACTACTGCCCTTGGGCAAAACTAAAATGCCAACCAGCCACCTAAATTAACATTGAAATTAAATACTTGGCAGTGTCACACTGAAAACTGCATCTTGAGCAAAACAGAGCAGACGTGCTGTTGTGCAGACATCCCACCTTCCAGTCGGACATCACAGCTGATTTATTTAGCATCTGCAGCCCAGCTAAGCCTGAGCTTTCTACAGAACTAGTGCCCTGCCACCACACCACTTCTCACACTAAGGACATGTCTGAAGAGAAACCTTTTCGTGCACTTCATACTGGTGATAGAAGGAAACTACGTTTCACTGATGAGTAAACCTCAGGGAGCAAAGAGATGCATGTTCTTCCAGTCCGTGGTGCCACCTTACCTTCCCCTCCAAGCAGCCTCTTTTAAGACCCGGCTTGAAAGATGACACTCTTTGAAAGCAATGATCCACCAGCAACAGCTTGCTTTTTTTTTTTTTTTTTTTTTGAGGTTTTTCTTTTTCCTTTTCAAGATAAGCAGCCCCTTCCCCCACAGGTTCAAAACTAGGGCAACCTGTCGCCTTGTCTGAGCTCCTCCTCGACTCAGTCCTACACACATGGCAAGGCAGACACATAGCTAATGGTGCCTTCCAAGAAACTTATTTTGCTGAGTTTTGAGATTCAGGGATATTTTAAAGTAAATTCTTCCACAGAATTTTAAAAATAAGGCAGAAAGGAAGAACTAAGATTTAATGGGCTGAAGAAGATAATAGGCATGTTTCTGCCCTACAGCACCAGATGAAGTGAGGGCTATGACTGCATGAGGCAAGTGAGATAAGCTTTTTTAATTAAACAATACCTGCCATTTCAATCTCCCGGCCATATTTCTATACAAAATAATGCATGGAAGCAGCACAATGTATTTGGAAAGTCATTCTCCTTCAATCTGGACTGCACCATTAAAGCAGCCAAACGCTTTTTGTTTTCATTAAACCCCCTCACCTTTCCAGGCTGGAGTATACTGCAGAAAGCACTGTTGGTTTCTACTCGTGATGACAAATTAGACACTGATTAAAAATTTACTCCAAAAAAGCTGTTCAGAAATACCCCCAAGTTAACTGAAAACGTTCAGCAAAATTAGCAGCACAGATCATGTGCAATGCCTGAGAAAATTCAGAGCCTTTTGTTGCTTTACATAAGGAAGGAGAGTATGCAAAATGTAAATAGTTTATCAAACCCAAAGAGAAATACAGCAGCTCTTAGAGAAGCAATTAAGTTATTTAATGACCATCTCATACCTGTACAAACAAGTGATGGAATTTATCTGCCTCAGCCTCTGTTTTATTTATGGGCTCATATTTGCAAGCCGTTTTGTAGGCAGGCTGGTCTTCTTGCTTATGGATATGGCACTCCAGCCATCCCTTTCACTGGCTGCTTCCTCTGCTTGAGCTGCCTCAACCATAGCTCTTATTACAAGACATGGCTTTTATTGCTGGTGATACACCATCCTCACACCTTACACTTAGATGTTAATTCTGTTCAAATGTGTAAAAATACAGACTGCTTTCACATTTTTTTTTTGTGTGACTTTTACCAGTAATGCATATTTTACCAGTAATGCATAAGGAAAGGCCATGAGCACTTGAGAAGCCTTTAATGTGAAGAACTCCTATGAAGACAACCCCATCCCCAACCACCTGAATGTTCTCACAGATGCAAGAGCAGCCACCCAGTATCAAAATTGTCCTGCTTTCACTTTACTCACTTGTGAACTCTGCTCCATAAGATGACAGTATCCCACAATTGTTAAATTGCTTCTCATATGTGTTGTTACAGGAAAACAAGTGACATTTTCTGCATTTAACACCTTGCTTCATATACAACTGTCAACTTGGATAAAAGTACACATGAGAACACAAAGTCAAAAGCTTAGGAATCCAGCAGATCATCAAACTAAGGGTTTCAGGATGAGGCTGATGCTTACATTCCGCAGTTCTGCTTGCCACATTAATTCTCCCACCATACTCCAGTAGGCAATGCTGCATGTTAAAACTAGAACATCCCATACTATCAGGGAATTCTTAGAAGTACCAAACACAACGTTTTGAGTCTTGTGTCTTTTTCTGATGTTTCATGAAGAACACTTTAAGAGCAAGTCAAGAACGTAAAGAAGCCTAAAGTCTTAATATCGCTTCACACCCTAAACAGCTTGCTATAAATGCCAACATTTTTCAGCAGTTAGTGCCCATCGTTGAAGCCAACAGGAACTCACCCTTGTTCACTTAAGATGCTTTAAGAAGGAAGCAAGAGCCCAGCTACGTATGTGTATAGCGTTGGTTACCAATGTTAAGATTTCTACCATTCCCACTTCATACAGCATAAACACCACAGTGATCCAGGACAAGGGGTTCATCA